CTGGCCATTTCCTTCCTCACCTCGGCGATGACCGTTTCCTCGGGAGGGCCGCGACGTTGGCGTGCAGAGAGCATGACGCTTCGGTCCACCCTCGCCCTCCCCCTCCTCCTCTTCTTCCGTGGCCATTTTGGCTCAAGGTGCAAGTTGTTCTGGGAGCAAAGTGGATACCACTAGTCTTCCACGACGACGGTCACTCGCCTCCAGGCTGTGGCCACCTATTCCTGCTTCAGTTGCAGCCATAGGATCCAAGCAGCGGCGCGAGTCAGTGTCGCAATCTTGGTTCTGCAAATGGTGTGTGCACAAGCCGCCAGGGGCACAGTTCATCAATCGTGCTGATCACAAGTGGTGCTCTCAGTGTAACTTGCCCAAAGGAACAGCGCTCAAAGGAATACCGCCGCCCAAGTCGCCCATTGTCCGCAGTCCCCCCATGCAGTCGGTTAGAGAGGCTCAATTGTCCAAGCAGCTGGCTGAGCTCACTCGTCAGATGCAGCAGCAACGTGGCACCGTGGCACAGGCTCAGCCGATCTACGCCACCATGGGCGAATGGAAATGCAGCGGCGGCCGTGTCTCCATCCTCTACCAATCGTGAGCGCATCCAAGCCATCGGGCAGATTCTCAAGTTGTTGGGCCCCCTATGACGCAGAGCATCGTGACTGATTTGTTCCGGAGCGTGAGAAGCTACAGTCCGAGTTGTAGGCAGACAAACCACTGGAGGCCAATGTCCAGGCCCTCAATGGCAGGCTTGCTGCAGCACGGCATCGCAAGACAATCTGTACTAGAACGCTCGCTGCTGCTCGAGATGCGAGATGCTCTCGAGAAGGCACACGAGGCAGCAAAGTTGGCCGAGGAGGCCGAGAGAAGCCATCCTGGACCTTGAGGAGCAAATACGCCATGTCGTTGTCAAGACCTCTCCCGAGTCCTCTAAGCCGCCCACCCTTTCTACCGTCATCCAAGGGTTGCAGGCTATGGTTGAGCAGCTGGGAGCTGTTGTGCAAGCACTTGGTGGCAGCGAGCATTTCGCCGATGAAATTGCTACGATGGCTGCTGCGGTGGCCAAGCTCAAAGGTGTAGAGAAGGACTGTGTGCCGGCAGAGGCTGAGGCCTCAGCGCAGTAAGACCAATCTGCAGAACCTCCAGCCGCAGCTGAGGCCCCCTTCACAGGTGTGGACATGGACGTCGACGCAGGTGCTGTCACGTATCGACACATCGACGGGATCGATGCGGCCACGTGCCGCGCGCATCTTCCTGCCTGTGGGATCGACGTACCAGCTCGTGCAGGTGATGGAGAAGACGACCTCGACGCCCTAGAACTCCGAGAGAAGCTCAAGCGCTACCAGGCGTGCGCCGGCGGTATTGCCAAGAAGCGCAAAACGGGTGCCGAAGATGAGGCCGACGACTACATAGAGTGACAGTCCATCAAACTTTGATTGTAATCATGACGATGGCCAACACTCATACCAGCATGGACGACCTCGATGTCGATCCGTTTGCATTCTGTGAGGAAGATGGAGGTGCTGCTGTCCTGTCTTCTGCGGCTGCCTGTTCGGGGTCGGCATTTGCTATTGTGGGGGGGACGTTGCCGACGGTCATTTTACCCCTCCACCCCTCCAGGACCAACGCATTTTCGTCAGTTTCGGCCATCGCGTCACGTGGTGCAGCCACTACTTGGGAGACTGATCCCCAGCGGGATGGGTCGCCCTCGCAGCAGGGATCACCCGCATGTGCCACTACGTCGGCTACGCCCTTGGCTTCGATGACCTCGACATCTGTTACGCAGCAAAGTGGGGCTGGACCTGCTTTGTCTCAATCCGAGGTTCGGTCATGTGAGAAGAACTGGATTTCGGATACCTATACGACCACCCTTGGGGTGATAAGGAGGTTCGGGGGGAGGGAGGAACCAACGTCTCACTCGATCGGTCTCACTATCGATCTCACTATCGGTCTCGCTCGATCGATCTCACCCGATCGATCTCACAATCGATCTCACTCGATCTATTTCATTCGATCGATCTCACAATCGATCTGACTATCGATCTCACATTCGATCGGACTATCGATCGGACTATCGATCTCATAATCGATCTCACATTCGGTCTAACTATCGATCTCACTATCGAAATCGCAATCGATATCACAAGCAACGTCATCATCATCATCATCATCAACATCATCGTCATCAACGTCATCAACATTATCATCATCAGCATCATCAGGACACCATGATCATCACCATCACCACCTCTTCACCATCATCATCATCAACATCATCATCACAATCGTCATCATCATCATCATCATCATCATCATCATCATCATCATCATCATCGGGACATCATCATCGTCACCATCATCATCATCAACATCATCATCATCGGGACACCATCATCATCATCGGAACACCACCATCACCATCATCATCATATCATCCTCATCGTGATTATGAACCACATCATCAACATCATCATCATCATCACCGGAACACCATCAGCATCATCATTAGCAACATCATCATCCTCATCGGGAAACCATCATCATCGTCACCAGCATCATTATCAACATCACCATCAACATCATCGGGACACCATCATCATCAACATCAGCATCATTATCACCATCATTGGGCCACCATCATCAAAATCATTATCATCACCTCATCATACTCTGTAGTATCAACATAATCATCACCATTGGGACACCATTATCGTCATCATCTTCATTATCATCATCAGGACACCATCATCATCGACATCATCATCAACAGCATCATCATCGACCTCATCATCACCGTTATCATCGGGACACCATCATCATCTTCATCATCACCAAATCATCTGATCATCATCATCATCATCATCATCGACATCATCATCATCATCGGGGCACCATCATCATCACCAGCAACATCATCATCATCAGCATCATCATCATCATCATCGACATCATTATCATCATCGGGGCACCATCATCATCACCACCATCACCATTATCATCAACACCGTCAACATCTTCATCATCGGGACACCATCATCATCACCATCACGATCATCATCATCATCAGCAGCATCATCATCATCATCATCATCATCATCATCATCATCATCATCATCATCATCATCGTCAACATCATCAACATCATCATCATCATCAACATCATCATCATCATCGTCATCATCGGGACACCGACGGGACACCGGCGGGACACCGGCGGGACACCGCGCGCCACCGGCCCCCGTGCGGGACACCGGCGGGGCACTGCGGGGCACCGGTTGCGAGAGACTGTTGGTCCGGCCACGCCCCAGCTACAGGAGACTTATTTCTCGCCCGCCCGCGCAGCTTCGCCTCGCCCGCACGCACGGCACGCACGATCACGAAACCGAAACCGATTTCCCGGTAGGGGGGCTCTCCGTTCCACTTCAATCTCACCCCCTCACCTCCGATTCTTTCTGTTAGCACGAGTGCGTATGGCCCCATGGTGGACTACCTGGCAGAGGCTAATGGGGTCCTTGTTGCTGTGCAGGAACATCACGTGCCCGAGGAAGCCTTGGGTAATTGACAGCATGCCGTGTTTGATACTGGTTGGAAAGGCCTCTGGGCCAGCGCTATCCCGAACGAAGCAGGCGGCACGGGTGCCACTGGAAGTGTTGCGGCCCTGACCCCCAGCCAGATTACCATTACTGCTCCTCCGAGGGCGGACAGTCACGTGCTCATACCTGGTCGTGCGGTGGCAGCGCACATACTATGGGGAATCCCTGGTGGGCTGGTCGTCATCAGCGCCTACCTCAAGGACAGCGAGGGCTGGGGCGCTCAGAACAGTAGCTACGTCTGGACCATTGTGCAGTACCCGTGTCAACTCAACGCGATGCAGATGCTCTGTATCATCTGCGCGGATTGGAACATGGAGCTGGACGCGCTCTCCCAGACCGACGACTGGATGCAATGAATTTCTGGTGTTGCATACGTGGGCTCAGTGCCCACGTGCCGCCAAACTCTTCTCTTCCAGGCACGTGCATGGACTTGTTCGTTTCCAGCGGTTGGTTAGTGCCCCGTCTTGGGCCTTTGGTGCAGGTTGGCGAGGATGCCTCCACTTTTCTTTACCTCCCCGCCCACCTTCATCGTAAGCCTGCGGGGGCCGAAGCCGCCGCAAACAAAGCCTAGATGTCTCGGGCCAAAATCTCCAACACCAAGAACATCGCACCAACGACATCGTCCCTAGAACACAGGTCTTTGGATCTAGGATCGAGGCACAAAGATCCAGATCTAAGAATCCAAAAAGCGAAGATCGAAGATCCGAAGATCGAGGATCGAAGATCTGGTATCTCTGGGACCTAAGATCAAGGATCGAGGATGCACAGATCCATATCTTTGGATCTGGATCTTTGGAACAGCGACGATGAGAGAGCGAGGGGGATGAGGATGGATACGTCCCATAACCCGAACGCCTCTCACCAAAAGCGGTGACCCTCTACAGCAAACTAATACAACCATGCATGTTATACAAAAGACGTAGAAAACGAATGCCTCGATCCGAAAATCTCGGGATCGAACCCAAACCCTCTGCAGTACAAGAAATGTTTGAAAATTGATTCCGCGAGCGTGTCGGACCCGCATTTTCAGCGTTTTCATCAAAGGTTCCGATGGTACTGTCTGCCTCCGCTGTGCCAAATCCTACGTGATCATATGCTTGATTGTTGCGAGCTTGCGTTATGGCATGCTTGCGCGTTCCCCTGACCAGCGAATGCATTAGAAGTATCAGTTGTGATAAGAAACGTGGTTCGCGGACACAGGGGGCGACTCAGGGTTCCATTGCACTTTGAGCTCCTCGTGGAACTCGCAGATGCGCTGGGTGCCGAGGGCTTCTTGGCGATTTCAGGCCATGTTCGGCGCCGGGATGTGTTCGGCGCCGAGGGTTTCGTGACACCCTGAGATCCTGTGAGACGCGCGGATGCGCTCGGCGCCGAGGGTGACTGGGCTCGGCGCCAAGGGTTTCGTGACACTTTAAA